GTATTTTCCCTTTGTGTCGCTTGACATCCTACTCACTTCAGATTAGGAGTCATTTTATCCAAATAGGTGCTGAGAAATGCTCAGCTGTGCATCCTGGCCATGCATTTTTTTTTAGCAGATGTTCACTTTCAAAAGTTCTCCGCCTGTTGTTTTACACTGTGTATTAAAGTAATATAAAAACCTTTTGTCTTAACTGCATTCCTTAACTTTAAACACTTAGGGTCAGCGTCACCCTTGTAGTTTAAAACTTCTTGAGTTGACAGGATTAAAACAGAGATGAATTTGGCCTTGTGTAGTCAGAAAGTATTAATTGCTGTTATTGCAATTATGGTTACAGATCCCTAGGCAAAGCGATTGGTGGTTTCAAAGTCCCCCACTATAATCAGTCTAATAAATTCACTTATTGAAGCTGTATGTAGGGCTCCAGTATGCTGCAGCCCCGTGGTTAGGAAGAATCCAATCAAGGAGCCACAACCAGTGGGGATTTTGCCCATTAAATATTCCCAGGCTGCTGATTGAATAACAGTTATGTTCACTACCGAAGCAAATCGTGTTTCTGCTTGTAGAAAAGAAACGAGTTTGGGAAAGCATCGTGATTTGTATGCTAGCCTGACTTTAATTTCCTGTCAACCACACACTTGTGACACACACCTGGGGAGCTGAGGTCAACATCTGAAGCACGGGGAAACTTGTCAGAGCACCGGCATCTCGGTGAGCTCAGAAGATTGCTTAAATGGCTGCTGTTTGTTTGGGGTACTTAGATCCTCCACACCGAGCACACAGAATCAGCTTTCAAGGATGAAAAGGCTGTAAACTCAACTACTCACCTCAGCCACAGAAAGTCACCTTAATCCCAAATGTTGGTATTTGTTCAGTGCTAGGCGAGCCCATGGGCTGTGTTTATCCCACTTTATCCTAAGCACTTGGCTGAGTTGTCCAAGGTCTCCCATTTGTTCTGTGGAAAGAGAAGGGATGACTCAGACTGGTGTAATTGCTTGGGAGATGAGGGTGGCAATGCTGGTAAGTTAGGAGCCTCAATTAAATGACATAGGTTTTGACTTAAAAAGGTGTGTTTAAGCCTTCTGTACTTGAGACTCCTTAATTTACTTTGATGACCCTTTTTGTCAAGCACAGCTCAGTGCAGTGGCCCCAGTGTCAGCAGCAATGCATTCTGCACTCAGTTTTGAGCTCATGGGACGAGGAGTGCAGCTGCGCAGCCTTCCCATCCTCTACATCTCCATCACATCTAAGTAAGAACTTGCTCCTGAAATACAGAGCTTTGACATGTGTAAGCTAATAATTGGTGTTGAGCACAGATCCATAGATTGATGAATTCACCTCGAATGTATTGCATCTACACTTTTTAGAATAAACTATATAGAATTGTTCCTAGGAAAAATGCTAATTGCTTCCCAAGAAATTGCCACTTGCAATTGACTACATACTCTCCTCCCTAGCTTTGACCCATTTTCCTCGTGCTGTACAGTGCCTGGAATGTGTTTGTTTGTCCTGCTGGCTCCTGATTCTGGTAAGCTGTGTCTCTCCCATCCCTTGTTCTCAGAGGAGCAAGTTGGCAGTAGCCTGCTCTGTGCCTGAAGGACAGGAGGAAGAGCTCACCAGTATATTCTCAGGGATCTGCTAGGGGGACCGGCTGGCTGGGACTGGCCCCTCCCCTCTGCAGGTACCCTTACGCAGGGACAGCTGAGCCCAGGCTCCCGTAACAGAGAAGCACGGGTTGCTCTCCATTTGTTTGATACCCTCGGGCAAAGGGAAGATTGCCAGGGAGCAGTGGAGACTCCCGTTAAGCAACAGCAGGGTTTGCAAGCTTAGTGAGCTGGATGACGTAGGTAGCAAAGCTTCAGGAGGGTGCTTATCTAGTACTGCATGTAGGCTAAGCCTGGGCCTGTGCCCAGAGAACACATTCCACCTCACCTCCATATGGCTGACCAGCAGCTGAGGAGCTTGCTCATGTTGTAAATAGCTCTTGGTCTTTAACCTCCAGGGATCTTGTGTTAGGATTAAAATGATTGTATGTTTGAAGAAAAGGCTTTTGTACATAGTTGATGTATGTTTACTTCCGATCTCATTGCACTTTCTGAGTAAGCCTCATAAAAGTAGATAATTATATTAAAGGAGATACATTAGAGGTTATAGCATTTCACGTTAAAGCATAATGTAGAAAATATTATACTCTGTATTGCAGACAGCTACACTACATAATGTGTGCAGCATATTAAGATTACTGCCTAGTTCTTCTTTCTGTCTTAAAATAGTCCAAACCTCCTGAATTCAAAGCAGACCAATTTTGCACATGTGGCACTGGGGAGGCATGGACTCCTTGGTGTGCTCGTGGCACACCTCCTCCCGCGGTGGCACTGAACCTCCTCCCCTGGGCTCTTGCAAAACAACTCCCTTGTGTAAATGAATGTTACTCTGCCTGTCTCTCCTCTTGCTTTGTCTGCAGGCGAGCTGATACCGATGGCTCCTCCCGTCCAGACAGTCCTCCACTCTTGCTTGATATATGATTTGTCCCGTCTTGCTGGCCGTTTGCTTTACTTCCTGTCTCTTTACTTTTCCAGGATGGTGTAAACAATGACTTCTTTTTGTAAGAAGCAAACACTTAATTTCTTACTGAATTTTGCTCTGTATGTTAATGCCCTACTTCGTATGAACCAAAACATCTGCCTTTGGTTTCGTAGTCTGTAAATGGTGTCTGGTGTTGATCTCTGAGCACAGCGAGTCGGTTCTCGAAACCATGGTCATTACTGAGCATTGCAAACACCTGCTGTAAACATGTTATGCTGCATTTCTGAACCTGAAATAAACTGTAACTCTTGATGGGCTTTTATTATTACTTTCCGATGCGCATGAGCAATCTCCAGTCTGGCACTCTGCCTCTGTTGGGACTGCAGTGAGGATTGACCAGAGAGATGCGTGCTGCAGCTCAGATCATAGACATGTCATGGAAAGGGCAGACAGGAGAGAAGCAGCCCATGGGAAGCATTCAGCATGCCGCCCTGCTAGGGGCTTGCAGAGCTGCAGGGGCATTTTGCCAAGTGAATGTTTGTCAGGCAGTACATGCTGTTTGTTTCATTGCTGGGAGAAGTGTTTCTGGGGAGAGATTGAAAGGTGAGCACGGGGCCAGAGCGACTTCTCAGGAGTTGGAGTAAAACTGTGCATGTGGACATGTCCTGCCTGGAAAGGATTTCCCCCCAGAGCGGTTGTATATGAACATGCAGCTGCCTCAAAATGCCTTGATTACTCAGTTCCTCCTTCAGGTTAGTGTGAGCCAAGGAAGTGAAATTGGTGCTCAGAGATGATCTGCATGGCACAGTAATAACAGCACAACAGCAGGGGGCACTTCCCCACCAACCATCACGGTGCTGCTCCTCAAGTTTTGGGAAAGAGGGAACAAGAGGTGGGATGAGCAAAGCACTCATGTCCCCATTGTACTCACAGCAAATTTGGGAACATTTTTTTTGTCATAGGCAGTCTGTGCAGCCTCCTATGGTAAACAGCCACGTCACGTGCATGTCTCTGCCTGCAGTATGTTACATACTGCTGTGTGAGCTGCTTCCTGGCATGCTGGCCAGCAACACACCAGTGCTGTATGCTGGAAATGGGATGAGCAGCCACTCTTCTCCGACCAGGGCACTGAGCCACTCACTGCCAGGGGTCACTCCTGCTCGTTTTGGCAGCAAATTCATGGCAGTGCCATCACCCAAGCTTCTAACTTCCTGAGCAATCCCCCCTTTCCAGATACACGAGCACATAGATACATCTTGTTTTATCACTCCCGATTTCATCAGAATCTCAATTGTAGAAGTAAGAACAGCATTTGAAGCATATAGCAGTGCAAATTTTAAGGCAGGCTGGGGAAAGGCTCTTTTGGAGGATATTATTTCCTCCAAGAAAATTAGAAAGCCTCTGAGCAGCAACACACTTGCGATGTGATTGTCCAGTGTGATTGTTCAAAGTGATTGTCCCAGCTCTCTGGTGCCAGGACGTCAGATGGGAAGCGGTGAGGATGAAAGCTGAGGCTGTGCTGATAGCCAGCTGATTCTAATCTCGTTCTTGCTTTTTTTCTCACTGTGCATGTTCTGTGCCTTTTCCTCTTAACCCATTTTATTAAGATAATTTTGTATATGAGTCATTTTATTGTATCTTGACCTTTTGTTTTAAATCTCTTCTCCCCCTCCCCATGAATTTTGGGTTACTTTTTGTCTTTTTCCTAGGCGACCTCCTCCAGCCGTTCCAGGAAGATCAGCCTAACACACACTTTGTTGTTGTTGTTACATACAATCAGTCTTCTTTTTGTCCAAATTTATCTTTAATTTGCACTAGTCTATTTGTAAATGAAAGATTTTATTTTCAGATGTCAATGATAAGCTTGGATATAAAGAAAATAAAATTCTGGCTACAAAATGAATGTATGCTGTTTTTCAATGGAAGGGTCTATCTATTCTCAAAAGGAGCCATTAAAGCTCCATGAAGCCTCAGCTCTGGGGAGGCCCCCCCTACATCCAAGGTGTTGGAGAGAGAGATGTGCTGCTGGGATTCCATCACTGTATCTGAATTCATTGATCACCATGACTGTTCTTGTAAATGCCTTTGACTTAGCATCAGCAGGAAGAACTTCCAACTTTTTGAACAACAGAGATTGCAAAAGGATCCTGTAAGATGTCTAATGCATCAGCAGCACCTGACTCTGTGCTGAGTGAAAAACCTAAGAAGACTGTAGCAGTCTCTCACTGATGAATCTGCATGATTGTAAACACATTGCAGCTGCTCTGACCATTTTTTTCAAGCGAAACCTCTGAATTCTCTGCAAGCTAACCTCACTAGAGCATCTGAGCTCAAGTATCTATAAGTAGTTTCCTCTGGATTTCAAGTAAGTTTGACCCTGTGGTGTTGAGTGAAAGATAGAGTCTGGAATTTAATATTCAGAAGATGTGCTTGTCTTGGGTGCTAGAGAAGTATATAAAGAATAAGCCTTTAAAAAGTTTTAAATTGATGGCTTTATTGATTTTTTTTTCTCACATGAAAACAATGAAGGGATATCTCACAAACCACACTGAAAAATCAGAGGGAACTGCGCAGACATGAAGTGGAGGTACAGTGCAGCATCAGGATTCCAGCCTGTTTTTTGAAAGGTACGAACAAAGCATTTCTTTGTAGTAGGAGAGCTACAGTAAGAGCAAGCTGCTACAGTGCTGCTCTGGGAGCAGACTAGTAGAGGAGATTCGTCTCATGTGTAAAAGGAGCCTGACAACACACAGACTGTGCTCAGTTTCAAACCAGGCCTGACATTGCTTAGTTGGGGCTGATTTACCTTGCTGCATCTCTCATCAGTGGAACTTGCTGTCATCAGATAGTAGCTAAACAGCCCTCAGCAGAGTTCAGGAGTACAGAAAGTGGCATTTGTACCTGGCAGGCTGTTCAACAGGCAAGAGGTTCTGGCCTTGCTTCACGTCCCAGGTAAGAGGGAATTGGACCAAACTGAATTTCACAAGCTACTTTTTTTTTTTTTTTTCTTTCTAGGTTGTTGAAGAATTTGTTCTGCCCTGGGGGCAGCACTCACTGCTTTACCTCTATAGTATGGCAAGGTCCTGAGAGGGGAACAGGTAGAAAGTGGCCGATATTTTAGTTCTAGAGCCTTATTATCTACAGCAACCCAGAAAGTGCTGCTGCTTTCCTTCTGCCAGCTGGCGTCAGTGCTGTAAGGCACAGAGTTCTCTTTTAGGGGTGTTTTATAGTGTTAAATCTTTCACAGAAATGATTACATTCTTCAGAAGTATTTATTAAAAATACTGTTGGAGATGGGACTCTGAACTTCATGGTTTTCAGGTAGCTCTTCTTAAAGTCTGCTGGGTTGCAGAAGGTGTTGGTGATGAGTGCAGGAGCTTTTGTGCTGGAAAACTTTGGCACATGCTTTGGTATCAGCTCACGGGGTGACTTTTTAAAGAAGCTCCTCAACCCTGTGCCTCTTCCATTCTGCACTGGCATATGCTCTGAGTGGAGGTGGTGAAGGTGGAGGGTGCTGTACCCCAGCTGGTGGCATTATGCATCCTAGGTTTTCTCAAAGGATGATTTCAGACCAAAAGCCACTTTTGGTTTCCTGCTCACTCTGTTGTTGTGGCCTCCTCACAGCATGAACCTATATGATGTGCAGAGAAAAGCCTAGTGATTAGTGTGGGAACTGAAGAGATAAAAAGATCTTACCTTCAAAGACTAAAGCTTCACTGTTTCCAGGCTTCCCAGATGCTGTGCTCCCACGAGGAGGAGGGACAGGGGCCCCTGACAGCCCGTTGTGCCTGCTGTGGGTGGCTGACGCTTGCCTTTCCCTGCTGCAGATGCTGTAGATGGAGACTGCAGACGGCACGTGTCAGCGACTCCCCCAGGAGCACAGCTTAGCCCTGGTCAGTGTAAAATTACTTGCATTTGGGCCAGATTCAAATCAAAAGAAAATGTCCTGCTGAGATACTGTATCTCAGTGGACTTGGGAATGGCAACTTTAGATAAAGAAACTGCACTTTCTTGTGATGCAAAATATTGTTTAACTCTTTAGAGTTGCTTGATGGTGATCCAGTTGCATGCAAACCAAGACGGACCTATTTCTTTGTGTGTCCAAACCAGAGAGCTATACTCTCAGGTAGCAAGTGCAATTTTACTGATGAGTTGAACAGTAAGTTGAGATCATTATGTTCTGTACAGCATATTCTGACCTCAGGCATAAGGATATATTTATTTATCGCAGCCATTTATTCCAGCAGTGTTGCAAAGTGCAGAGCTGAAGGAGCTGGGCAGAGCAGAAAGGCCTGTGGCAACTTAAGGAGATAAAACTGCTTGCAGCAAGCTTTGTACAAATCCTGCACCCTGCCTGGAGCAAAGAAGATGTGGCGTGCTGGATCAAACAAAGCCTAGGGATCTGGCCCAAATGCAAGTAATTTTAAACTGCCAGAGATAAGCCCATTGGGTTTCAGCTGTGTTTGAGGTGATGACGACACAGACACCACATGCCACTGCTGGCCTCCACTTGCCCAACAGGTCTCCATCAGCTTGAGGCAGTGTCTCCTCCTCGTCCTGGACACGGTCATTCCACATCAGAGCAGAGAACCGGAATGTCCCAGCGTGTGCTGGATTGCTGTGCACCGAGCAGCACTGGGACAGCAGCTCCAGACAACTAGAGAGCTCCAGTGAAGGGAAGAACACAGCCTCTGGATCACCCCGAGTCCTTCTCAGCATCTGAGGTGAATCTTTGTTGGAGTAGCAACAAAGAGACGCTGCTTTTCTGCTACTCCATGTGTTTCTAGCTCTGTTATTGCCCAGAGCCATGCTAGTCTGTGCCCATTGCCACATGGAATCATAACTGGATAAGTGATGTTTGCACTTTTCCTAACCCAGAGCTGTTTTTTAAGAGTCTGGATTTGAGAATTTTTTTAGAAAACATTTCACTTCAGGTGAATGGGTCTAGCAGAAACTATCCTTTCTTGTAGTCATAAATCCAAGCTCAAAACAAAAACTCCAAGACTACCTTGCCCCAGTCGCGTTAACCTAATGAACCACCAGATCCCTGCAACCTCCTTGGGCCACTGACAAGGGACAGCTGCCTCCCCAGCCTCACAGTGCTGTGCCTGAGATGAAACAACTCCTATACACACTCCATTTTGTCACCGTTAGCCTGGATACTGCATATTCAAAATGGAGTCAGGGCTGTGCTACGTCTGAGATGCATCAGCAGTTGATAACTGCAAAGGTTTAGGATGGCAGTTAACAACAGTTTGAGGACAGAGGTGTTTGTGCAGCAGCAACTTCAAGTAAACCTGACTGCAGATAGCATGGCCCCTACCAAGAGAGACATTAACTGCACGAGCCAGGCAAGCTATATTTCATTTGCTTCTTTGACAAACTGTTACTTGACTTCTTAAATTTGATCCAAGCATACTGAAGCCTCATCCAGAGATGGATTCTGTGAATTGCTATGGATGGCAGTGTTACAGTAGCATAAGTCTGATAGACTGGGGCATCCTGGCCACCAGCAACTGACTTTCTTGGAAACCTCTTCATGAAGAAATAATCTTCAGAAGAACTGAAAATGTCATCTTGATTGTGAGCATCTGGCTATTCTGCACTCCCTGTGAGCTTGGAGCACATACTCTAAACCTCTGCAGGTTTTCTTTAATTAAAAACAAAATGAGATGTAGTCATCTCCATGACAACAACGGCAACATTTAAAACTTGGCAAGTTGTCATAACAAAGCACTGGAGGTGTTGGGGGCTCTGCAGTGGGCTGCTCATTTCCTAAGAAGCTCATGGAGCCAGCGCCTGCTTGCTGGGATGAGACAACAGTGCTCTGTGTGAGCTGTTTGCCTGCAAAACCCCTTCACACTTGATGGATTCAATCAATGGGTTCAAACCTGCACTTCTGCAGCAGAAGGGCTCCTTGCCCCTGTAATCTTTCGTCATCCCTGAGCATGCATGCAAAGCTGGTATCACATCTTACTGGAGAAATTAGGTGTTTTAAACATCTCCTTGTGCTGCCTCCGGACTAGGAGGGATCTGACTCTCTTACTTTGAAAGGAGCAGTGCTTCCTCTTATCTTAATGCTAGGGATAAATACTGCAGGAACAAGCAGCTGTGGTCCCACAGTCTGCAGAGGTGCTGGTATTTGCTGATGGACATGGCAGTGTGGCTGTACATGCAGGATATGTGTGAGTGTACTCAGGTCTGTGCGTGCCCCTGTGCTTTCGGCACCCTGCCCAGCACCAGGAAGGCTCTGGTAACAGGAAGCCTAGAGTGCTACTCCTTTGGCCAAGTCCATGCTCTGCTGGACCACTTGCCTCTGGAAAACAACACAGGGCTGGCTCATCTGGAGATGCCCTCCACTTTGACTTTTTTGCTTAGAGGACCCTCTGCTGTGGGGTATGTGGAGTCAGACACCAGATATGTAAGTGCGAGGAAGGACTAGCAGTGGTCTCATCACTGCTGCAGCACCCTGGGGCTGGGCTGGGTGGCCCCTGGGTGCCCACTGCTGGGACCACATCCCTCCACAGGAAAGAAGAGAGACCTCGCTCCATTCCTCTGCCTTGGTGGCTGGACAGAAATACTGCCATGGGTCTGCCAGCACCTCCCCACTCACCCACAGCCCAGGGCAGTCACAGCACAAACTGATACAGTCCCTGCTGTAGTGAGAGAGTCTTTATTGGGTCGGGTGTCCCCTTGGAGCTGTGCCCCAAAAAGGCCCCTCACAGCAGAAGGCACCGCTTCCCCACGGCCAGGCCTACATGAGGAACCTGGAGAGGTCCTCCTTGATTTCAGCCTCATCCCACGGCCCGTGGATGTTGTCCTTGAGCTGCTGAAGCCGGATGAGGCAGTAAGGGCAGAGACAGGAGATGGAGAGCAGCAGCGAGGCAAAGAGCACAGCACCCACACTGGAGACGCTCGCCAGCCCCACAAGGGCAGCCAGTGCGAACAGCGCCGTCACTCCCACATAGCAGTATGGCGTCCGGGCCTTCAGCTTCTTCTGCAGCATGGGCCAGAGGGCAAAGATCTGCATTGCAAAGGTGACCATGACGAAGGCGTGGAGGGAGCGAGGCAGGCGGGAGGCCAGGCACACCGAGGCGAAGATGGCCATGTTGAGGGACAGCGTGCTGGACACGATGGCGGCGTTGGCACCGTAGTCGAAGAAGATGAGGTGGCCGAGGAGCATGAAGGCCGACATGGCGTAGATGGTGTCTGTGCTGACGGACTCCGTCAGTGTCTTCAGCACCGGTGAGAAGCCGTAGGTGAAGGCGGTGAACACCAGCGTGCTCTTCAGGTCTGCCCACCGCGTCCGCCCGCTCTCCTGCCGCCCGACCCCGGCGTCGATAGCATCAAAGAGGACGTAGCCAAGCAGAGAAGTGAGCAGGGCTGCCCCAAACAGCCCCTGCGGGCTCAGCACCCCGGCGTCCATGTACCACCAGGTTACAACAAAGACGCACACGCTGCAGAGCTGCTGCACCACCACCCCCGACTCGAAGACCACGTTCCAGTACTGGTACTGGCGGGCGTGGATGTTCTTCCGCAGCTCCTCCAGGAACCGCTGGTCCACGTAGTTATCGGGGAAGGGCTGCCGCTCGTACAGCACCTTCTGCCAGCACCGCCTCGGGCTCGTCTCCACCTGCGCACAGACCATCCTCCCGCGGGCTGCCCCAGAGGAGGCCGGCACGGAGCGCCGCTCCGCCGCTCACAGCCTGACGACGTTCTCAGGGCCCTGCGAAAGAGCAGGTGCGGGTTAACCGTGACGTAAGGCCCCCCCTTGGGCCCCGGGACAGCTACGGGACTCGGGCAGCCCGCCCGGGAAAAGGCAGCGAACGAGCAAGGGCGGCTGCACATCCCTCCTCCCTCCGAGCCAGCGATCCATTCCCCCGGCCCGCCCTGCTCCAGCCGCGAGGACGGGGCTCACCCCCCTCCCGGCCCGCTCGGCCCCACCGCACCGCGCTCCGCCGCCCCCTCCGGCCGCCGCCGCCTCCGCCGGGCCCGGCGCGGCGCAAGGGACGCCGGGGCGCTCGGAGGCGCCCCCTGGCGGAGGAGCCCGGCCGCCGAGCGCGGCGCCGCCCGCGGGTGTCCGCTGTTCCCGGAGCTGGGCGGCACTGGAGCCGGGGCGGAGGGGGGCGGTGTGCAGGGGATGCTCATCGCCTGCTTGGAGGCGATCGTAATCAATTTGGTAACTGTGGATAAATGAAGTCGCTTACAAGCCGACAATATTTAGTTCGCCGTTTGGGTTTTGCTTGTTTTTTTTTTTTTCCTGCCAGAGCCTTTCTCCAGGTGCTGCCATCCCACGGCCTGGGGATTTGGGAGTTTGAAAGAAGCTGTGCTCCGACGTGGCAGAAGAAAGCTGTGCCAGGGGGTGGACGCGGTGGGCCGGGGGCGATGGGCCCCTGCCAGCCCATCCTGCATTGATGCTGCTTTCTGCTCACGTTCCAGGCTCTCAGCTCACCACCCACTGCCGCCTGCAGCTGCATCACAGCAGGCTTGGGTGCCTTCTCCTGGGACTGCTGTAAGTGACTGCAGTGCCTGGGGAATGGGAACACGGGGCACCTATTGCTGCCACTGCACTCACGTCCCTCTGGAAAACTCTCCACCCGCAGTCTAAAGGGCAGCTCAGCCCTCCAGGTGGCCCAGTCTCTGTCTGCGGGGAATGAATCACCTGCCTGCATAGCAGTCCTGCACCTATGACTATGGGATGAGCCACGTCACCAGCTGTCCCTGCCAGTCAGAGGGAACACGTGCTGCGGGCGACGTGGCCTTGGCAGGGATAGCAGAGCAGCTGGGAGAGGGACGTTCCTGTCACACCCTGAGCGGTGCCTAAGGTCAAGGATGCGAACCCCTTTGTGCGTGTCTTAATTCCATGCAACAAGATCTCCCTCACCAGCTGCAGGGGGGTTTGTGGACCCCAGACTGGCTCAGCCCTCTGTCATACAGCGAAACACTTGGTGGTGCTACCCATCCTGCCACAGTTAGCTCTGAGGAGCACTTGTGGCTATGTTGCCATAACACCAACTCTGGGGGACACCACCACTTCCCCACTGCCCCCACCTGCATTTCAGATCCACTTGCTAGCCACTGTGTTGCACAACTGACCCCATTGCAGACATGTTTAGTTTCTGCAGGGCTCCTGCACTGCAGTATGCTGCTAAAGCTGTTTGGAAGCCATGCTGGAAAAGGTGACAGGCTGGGATTTAAATAGCTGTGACTGATCTAGGCCTCTACTGAAGGTATTTGAATATCAAAGTATTCAGGGCATGGGGCTCCTGGGTTGCCTCAGGGCACGTCTGCATCTTCCCACAGTGGGACAAGTGTGTGTGAGCTGGCATTTGTGGTGCTCCTCCAAATGACTGTGCCTTGCTTGGGGACAAGCATGCCAGAGGCTGTGGGGACAGGCAGATCCTGCGTGTTCCCACATCCCTCAGCTCAGGTTCTTCCTCATCATCCCACAGCTGCTGAGTCTAACATGCCACCAAATGCATTCTGTGCCCCCAGGGTGTCCCTGCAGCATGGGCTCACTTCTCACCACCCATCTTGAGCTGGTGCTGTGCAGCAGGCAGGTTCTGCCAGGTGTGGGCTGCAGGACTGGCAGGTCTGCCTGTGAGCACTGCTATGAACACCCAGCCTTTGTTTCTCTGACAAGCGATCCCTGCGTTTTTCCCTTTGACCCTGGAGCCGAAACCTCCCTTTGGAGGAATGTTTTTGGGGGGAGGTTGGCGTGGCTCCAGCAGCTGAATTTTTCCATGACCAGAGACCATTTCCTGCCTTACATGGCCCCAAAGCACTTGCTGCGGCTGCTCTCCTGCAAGCACCTATTTAGGGATTTAAGCCCCGTGCATGGGGATGGGGGGTTGGAACCAGATGATCTTTAAGTTCCCTTCCTGCCCAAGCCATTCAGTGATCCTGTGACACCAGCCCTTAAGCTCTGAGCAGACCCACAACTACAAAGCTGCCGGGGCTCACATGGCTGGTTGCCTGGAGTCGTGGATTCAGGACCACATCCTGGTCCCAGGGAGATGCCAGCCTTGTGTGGCAGAGATGCCCTCACCATGGGCAGGCTGTGCTAAGGACAGATGCTCTTTTCTGCTAGCCAAGAAGTGGTCTTCTTGATCTGGAGCTGCCCATGAGGCCTGTGAGCTCCTCCTCAGCAGGTAGAAGTGGCAGATAGAAGGATGGAAAAGGTGTTGTGGAACTAGAGCAGGAGGGGTGCAATATGGAGGGACGCACACACAGGGATGTGACCTCTGGCTGCAAACTGAGCTCCCCGATGCTGGCATTCCCCAGCGGTCAGCACATAGCTGTGAAACCCCGTGGTCAAACTCCCCCAGCTGGGAGGAGAACAAGGTGGTCCTGCTGGGATTCCCAGCCAGCTCGAGGGCAGGGAACAACTGGTTCCTGTTTTGAAGGAGATCTCTATGCAGTGAAGGTGCTAGGAAAGTTTTTGCTTTTTCACTGGCTTTTTTAAATGATTTTTTTTTTTTTCTTTTTAAGTCCCTAGGAAACTGCCTCCAAGAATGATGTCAAGGATGTGCCCTGCCAGCTGCAGGTTGGGCAGCGCCGTGTGGGAGGAGGCCAAGTGTCAGCTGCCCAGGTAACCTCAGCTCAACCCACACTGTACGTGGCACATCCATAGCACACAGGGAGGAAACAGACCTCAGGGTGTGAGGATAAACCTGTCTGCAGGAGCAGTGTGGGGGTAATCACTGAGGTTGGGAGTGAAAAAAAACAGAGGTGTGGGAGCAAGGGGGGCTCAGGTTCCCAATCCCAGGCAGAGCAGGGCTGGGGCTCCTGGTAAAGCCTTTTTGGGGTTGTTTCTGACTGTGTTCCCCTTTGTTTTGCCCTGAAGTTGAAGCATGGGGATGGGATTTGAGGTGCTGATCCAGCTCTGCCATGATTGGTGACAACACATGGAGAGCTATAAGTGGTGAAACTCACCAAAAATCACCCCCTGGAGGGAGGAAAGCAGACACACACTGTTTGGGGGTGCTTGCCAGCTGCAGTCTCATCCAGCAGCTGGTTCCTCCCAATGGCTCTGAGACACAGCGAGAGCAGTGTGAAGGGACACGGTGCCTCCCCGCAAGGTTCTTACTGTCTGCCCAGGGGAAGTTTTTGTTCTTTGGCTGCATAAGTACAAAGAAAGCCAGAAATAGACCAGAGGAGACTGGACAAAACGGAGTGAGTATGCAAACAAGTCATCTTTTGTAGGAAGCACAGATGGGGCTGTTTCAGAAATGCAAGCTGAAAGCAGTTGTAGGCAAGGTGCCACTGGCTCTGCCCAGTCCATGGGCCGTGCAGGCACAATTCTCAACAAAATGTGCATTCTGACAGCCTTGCTCCTGTCTGGCTTACATCTTATGTGTTTCTTGTGCCACTGCTAAGGAGCTGTTGGGGATGGCCCCAGCCCTGGGGTGCTCACAGGTTTGGTTCTGCCTTGTCAAAGTGACAGATGTGCCACTCTGCTGTTTTGCAGACCTTTGCTTTGCTTTGACCTTGATTTGCATTAGAGCATGGAAGGGAAACCAACACCATGTTGTGGTGCTGGGTGCTCCCCTGACCCCTCAGCTTGCTGTGGGCAGCTTCAGGCCATGCTGTCCTCCCAGAAATAGAGACAAAAAAATAGGCCTACACCTCAGTTTCTGTGATGAGATTTGGTTTCTCTTTTCCCAGATGGGCACAGAGGGTGGCTCCATCAGCTGGATGGCACAGAGCAGCAGCCTCTGCACTGGAGTCACCCAGGCCTGCAGGGCCAGGGATGTGCCCTTGACTGGGTTGCAAATGGGAGATTGCCAGGGCAATGGCAGGAGCCCAGGATGTGTCACACTGGTCACTCATCTGCTTTGACTGTGCTGGGATACAGCAGCATGTGGAGGCCTCTCTGGACCCCCTGGCATTACCTCTGCCCCTCACCTGCCCCAAGCACATGTGCATCAGGGCTTTAGGAGCTGTGGGGCCATGCCATAGTCTACCTGTGCCAGACATCAAGGCTCTAGATCAGGGCTGGCTGGCCAGAGATGAAAGCAGTCAGTCTCCCACACAGGGTCATGCAGTCCCTGCCAAACATCGCTGATTGCAGTTCCCCTCCCCATCTGCCTGGGAGAGCGTCTCACCACCCTCAGTGTGGCCGCACACCCAGATGAGGGTCATCTCTTTTCTGCAAAGCAGAAACAGCACAAAAGCATGCAGACGTGGGGGGCTGCTTGGGGACAAATGTAACTGTGGGGAGAGGTTTGTGTTCAGAGCGAGAGAATGGCTCACTGCCCCATCTCGGGGTAACAACCTGTGAGCATCCTTTAGGATCAAATGGGACCACCCCTGAAAGCCACTGGTCTCAAGTCATGGTGGTCAGGCAGGGTCCCTGTGGATGATGCAGGGGCTGAGGAGATGAAACTGGTGATATCCAGCAGTGCTCAGTGCTGCCCTGCATTAAGCAAACATAACAAGGCTCTGCACTGAATGTGCCTCTTGGTGACCCTACCCTGCCATATCTGCCATTTAATCAGGGTCACCGTGACCGCTGTCTCACATCCAGGAGTCTGGCAGCCCAGCAGCACAGTGTGCCATTCTGCAAGCTTGAAGCAACACAGAGGACAGCTATGGGAAATCAGCATGCATGCACATTTGGGATCATATCAGAACACAGAACCAGTGCCACTGGTACCTACGGGGCGCCGTGCCATGGTGACATCTCCCTAACAAAAGCCCTGTATCTCAGGGTGAAACAGCAATTATCAGCTGTGCTGGAGGCAGAGTTTCTTCTCTTTAGCTCTACAAGGAAAAAGATTCCAATCCCACTTCTTGCACAGTTCATTCCCCCTCATTGTGAGCCCTGGAAGGTTTTGGCTTCTCAGATATTTCAGGATTGCTTTTAAAAGTTTTATACTGTTTTGCTGGATTCTCCCCTGACAGGGGGAACGGTTCAGTTGAAGTTAGAGGAAGTTATCTGAAGCAATCTTGAAATTTATAGCTCTTCCTTTACTAAGTAAGAAACGGTCAGGAAATTAAACAGGAAATTGCATCTGGAAGGAAAACTCAGACAAAAGTTGCGTTGTCAGAACAGGCTTAGGAGAGATTTGTTTTATTTTAACCGGTAAGGAGCCAAAATTAATAATCAGAAAAGGAAGGAGCCTTGTGCAAATTAAATCACACATTAGAAAGGAAAAACACTTGGGGAGAAAAAAGATACCTTTGAGAAGAGAAGGTGTGGATATTCTATGCTAAATCAGAGATCAGGCTTAGCATTTTCAGCAAACAAACACTCGGAATTGCTGAAACACAACAGCCCCAGCTGAGAGCTTCATCTCAGCGTGGCAGCCTGGTTCTTGGCACTACCCTCACTACCCTCTCTCCTTATGGTCTTCTCTGTGTGAGAGAAGGGACAGCCACCAAGCACTGGGCATGATGCAGCTGAAGCAATCCTTCCAGCCACCCACTTCCAGCAAAAGCAACTGAGATGATGGGAAGGGAAAATACGGCTGTGGGCACTGCTCAACCTCTACAGCACTTTTTAAGACTCCCAAGCAAATATTTGCTCCTAGATCACCTATGTACATTGTTCTCACAGTTAATTATAGGCTCCAGTAGGGAGATTGGGTAATCTGCCTTGTTTTTTACCATTACATTCCTCATCTTATCGTTGTTTGAGATGCAAGCTTAGTGAGTGCTGAGCCATGCTGGTATGTCAGGGCTGATGACCTGCAGCCTCTGCCTGGCTGATGACACCGAAGGTCTTCAGGTATACACTGTACCTCGTGGGGAGTGACTCGAGAAAGCTTTTCTCCAGGATCCTGCTCACTCACTGTCATGATTTCCTGAAATGATCTGTCCTCCCTGACTGCTCTTTAACTGTGTTTGGTCTAAGCTGCATGTGATTAATCTCCTGCTGATAAGTGGACCATAACGCATGTGGGAGCTGTGCCAGCCCAGAACAGCTACATGGGCTGAGCAGATGTGGCTTCAAAGCTTTTCCCTCAGCGATCAAAAGTCCCTGCCACGGAGGGACCTAAAGGAGGCAGCTGTGGCCAAGGCTCACATGTCACCACCTCTCCACAGCCCTTTCAGGATGGTTTTGGGCACTCATGGCACAGTTAAAATATCTGTGGGTACAATGTGTGCTGTTACTGAAGTTTTGAGGAAATTCCCACCGCCAAGGCACCTCACTGGGGCTCAGCTGGAGGACTGCAGATTGGTTTTACCCAAAGGAAGAACTTGGAGCTTGATACACATTTCCGAAGGGGCATTATAACAAAGGGCTGCCCTCCTCCTAGAAATGCCACTGTCTGACCTGGCAGCATGTCCTGAAGGTGAGCGCTGTTCTCCTGCCATCTTGCCCTTTGCAGGAGGAGGCTGAGTAGTTTTGCTGCAAGTAGCACCAGTGAGGTCATCCACTGTGTTATCTCCTGTCTCTGCAGGAAGGTATGACTGTACAGAAGGGCAGGCAGCACGAAACCATGGTCAGAACTGTGGCATGGGACTTGGCAGGCTGGAGAGCTGCACCATAGGGTGGCCCTGGGAGGGAGGTGGCAGGTGGGTGGCCCTCCTGCTATGGGTAGTGTGGCTGAGAAAGTGTTCCTTCTAAAGAAAATACCTCTGTGCCTACATAGGAACCTCACCACAGAAAGCACAGCACTGCAATCTCTTCTTTGGCTTAGCAAGCTGGATCTTCTGCTCTCCCCTAAGTTTCCAGGCAGGGCCTGAGGTCTGTTTGCTGTCGTTGGTACTCAGAGCTCTCAGAAGCACCGAGGATGCCAAATATTTGTGAAAACCCAACAATTTCAGGGCAAAAACCACCAAGGGCAGACAGGGCAACTCTTGTGAGCTTTCCGCCTCGCCAGCACCCAGCTCCAGGTGGGCTGTGCTCCTGCACCCGGGAGCAGCTGTGGAGCAGGCACTGGGGGCAGGGCAGGGCAGGGCTGCCGCCGGCGCTCAGGGCACTGACACACGTTCATTTCCAGCACAGCGCCGTGACTCATCCACCTCCGTGCGTCAGGGCTCTTCCCCCCTGAACATCACCTCAGAAAGGTCAACACTGGGGAAACCCGTCGCCATCACACCGGTGGGTCCGCCCTTACTCTTTATTTAATGAATAAATCATTTAAAAACTCTGAACATTTCTCTGGCACTCTCTGTGCCCGCACACCCGCGAGCTGCCAGCGCCGAAGCCCGACACCCGCAGTTCCCTCGGGCTCACTGGATCCCGCAGCAAAATGGCCGCCGGCTCCACGCGCCCGCCGCACGGCAGGAGCCTCCCGCCCGGAACTACAGCTCCCAGCGGCCCCCGCGCCCCGCCCCGCGCGGCCTGTCGGGAATTGCAGTTCTCCCACCGCCCACCTTCGGGCTGTTTTTCTGCTGGGGGCCTCAGTAAACGCCAATCAGCGCTCGCCTCGGCGGGGCGGCTCACGGAGATGCCTGATAAAAGAAACAAAAAAGAAAAAGCCGTGTCAGAGCAGAACGCCGTTCCTTAACGCGCCCCTCGCTCCAGAGGTAGCGGTGCCTCCCGTTCCTCGCTGACTTGCCGCCAGCCGCCCCTTGTCGCAGCGGTGTCTCGTTCTACAACAGCCCGGCCTACGCGGACACCTCAGAGAGGTCCTTTGGGGGGCGGGGGAAGAGAGATCCGCTCTGTGATTCGCCGCCGCTCTGCAGGGAGGAGCCAATCCGCGCCAGCAACGGGCCGCGGGGGGGCGGGGCCTACCGCACGCGCGCAGGCGATTGGTGGCGGCGGGGCGCGGAGTGTGACGCGTATCCTTCCAGCTCAGCGCGTGAGGGGCTGAGGGGCAGGGGGAGGGGCCGCCGGGCAGTAACGGCCGCGCTCGCGCCGCAACAGCCGCATCGGAGCCGCGTTAACGGCCGCGCACCTCAGCGGCCGCTTCCCGCGCTTTCCCCGCGCTCCCTCCGGCGGGGAGGATGCGCCGCCTCTCCCCGGCCGCGGCAGGTAGACCGGGGAGACGATGAGGGAGCCGCCCCGCCGGCTCCTGGCCCTGGGCTCCTGCCTCTTCCTCTGCGCCCTGCTCTGGTGAGTCCCGGCCTGGCCTGAGCGCGGTGCTCGGGGGGGGAGTAGGAGGAGAAGGGGCTCGGCGGGAAGGGCGGGCCGGCACGGCGCTGCCGGGAGCGAATGGGGCTGCGGGGTTCGGGGGCTGCGCCGTGCGTTCCGTGCCCTCCGGTATCGGATTCTTTCCCTTCGCACCGAATTCTGGCCGCGTTCTCCGGCAGGTCGCAGCGCCTCGTTCTTCACAGCGGTTTTCTGCGGCTGCTTTGAGTCGCGTTGTGCGAAAGTCAGAAGCTCCGTTCGCTTTTCGCATTGATCGTGTTTGAAACTGTTCTCCTCAGCCGTATCTCCTCCCAGCATCTCGTGTGCTTTGTTTCTGTGCATAACCTTTAAGCAATACAATATTAGGACAGGATAGCCATCCGTAAGCTTTGTCCTGCTTTGAGCTGTGTGAGGTGAGCAGCGCTGGTCAGTCCCAGTTGTGTGCCTGCAGGTGCGGGCAGCCCGAATGGCAGCAACTGCTGGAGGTGTCTGATGGCCCGGGTTAAGTCTTCCTGCAGATCGTTTGAATAGTCTGACAAAGGGTAACGTTGAAGTGCTCTTGAAATTTGTGGCTGTCTCAGCTGAGCCTGGCCTGATGGCCGTGGGGAAACCCAGACACCTGTCTGTACCCAGCTGGTTGCAAAACCGCTGCTGACACTTGCATGAGTGGGTTGTCCAGCTCTTCGTTTGTGTCATCGCGATACTGGTTTCAGGAGACAACTGTGAGTATGAAAAACAACCTGAAAGATCAGTTTCCTTGTTTGTGTTTAGCAAAGCTTTAAAAGAAACAAAAATTTCCTCCTGGCTGTGCTGATGTGACTGTGAACCTGGTTTGTCCTTCTCCAGGCAGCGTTTGGGCACTGCTGGAGGGTTTCATATCTTATCACAGAAGGTGCCTTCCTGTTTGGGTTCTTATTAGGGAAATATATTTTTGCTTCTCGCTGTTAATAACCTGTTTCTGCACTGAGATATGTTGTTAAAGGTGCTGTTCTCGTGTTAACAGTAGATAGACAGAGTGATTCTTCTGTTGCTTTTAATCTGTTACAACGGAGAAAAAAATCAGACATCTATTTCGTATGGAAGATGCTTGGTCTGTACAGACAACTTTGCATTCCTCTTGTGTATGTTTAGGAGAAAAACTGCCCTGAGATTTTTTTCTTACTCTAACAAGCAGTTGTGACTGATCCCAGCTTGCACTGTGTGTCCCAAAGCTCTTGCTATTGAAGTTCAGATTGTGTTCAGCACACTCACTCTTCTTATTAAGGAGCTGCTCAATTAATTCCGCTGCTGGTGAGGTTGCAACTCAAGTTCTCTGTTCTGTTGCACAAATGCTAATTCACGTGAGGTAGTTAAAGATTCTGTTTGCAGAATGACACTGCAGCTTTGCTTCAGTAGCCACGTCAGGTGCATAGTTGGAAAGTGTCAAAGTCTTCCAGTCCTGCATTGTAGCTGAGCTGTGTAATCACGATAAGTGCATTTTACTTTTTCCCAAATAGAAGATGGTCACCTTTATTCACATGAGCTATTACACAACTCTTAAAGTAGTCAATGGAAGGCTTTGACTGTGTTACAGATCTTGAGTTCTTACAAGATGTTGAGTTCTTAAACCTAGTTGTCTTGAAATGTAACCTTGAAAGGATGTAAATGGTGGCAGGAGCAGGGCTCTTCTTACAGGTCAAAGTCATGGGCAGCAGGTGATCAAAGTGAAACAAAGCAGGAAAACATGGGACAAACAGGATTACTGTAGGAATGCTCTCGAGGCCACTTAAACTTTGTTTTTTTTTTCTGGATAGGTGCTTGCTTCCTTTATTTGGTGAAATTAATCTTGAAATAGTTTCTCCAGTGGAAAAATACCCGTTTGGATAAAGGTGGATGATAACAGTGATTTGACAGCTTTCCAGTCAGTTGAAAAAATGTGGCTGTGTATTAGGAAATATACAGAAACAAGAAGGTTGAGTTCAGGGACTCGTCAGCTGGTGCCTTTTCAATAAAGGCTGCATGGTGCTTGTTGGGAATGCAGGGTCACTGTTACAGTACTTAAGACTTCCTGAAGCAAACCGCATGGGGCAAACACAACTTTCAGGGAAGCCTGAGCCGGTGAGGCTGTAGCAGGGGGTTCAGAGGAGTGGAATAGCTGCAAGGTTTTAGATAAATATTTTCAATGGAAGTAGGGCTTGGAATATACAGCTCTAAAAATAATATTTCTGTGCAGGTTGCAGCTTGAACTATGTGACAAATAACTCCTGTTCTGAATTTGCCGTTTTTTTTTTTGTTTGTTTGGTTAACCCCTTTCTGTGGATGCTCATTATGTAAAAAACACTTTGAAAAGTGCAATGTTTCATAGCTGGGTGATGCAGAGGGAGCTGAATGCATGGAGGAGATACAGAGGCTCCCGGTTGGCGCTGTGTGAGACCGGCTGTGACAGCTGTTTGAGCAGGATCCTGGGCACATTGTTCTGACATCAGCTTTTGCCTGCCATCAGCATTTGTTTACCATGTTAGCTATGCATTTAATGAAGAAATCATGCGTGTGTTAATTTGTCTTTCTATGGTTCATTCTGTTCTGGAAAATGCTTTGACATCCGGCTCTGCTGAGCTTTTATGAACCCTTTAAGAATTCTCAGCTTTGCAAGTATGAATGAAAGGAAACTGGGAACAGAGTGCGTGCGTGCACCAGGGTTCTTCAGGGTTCTTCAGTTGTAGCTATGTGTGAGTGTGCTGCATCAGGGCAGGAAGGCTTGTAGCAAAGCAAGAGACCAGCAGCGCTGCGTGCTGTTGTGCTGGGAAGCCCTGGAGCGCTCTGGCTCTGGGAGCTGTCATGCAAAGTGTGTCTGAGCAGGTCAGGCTGGGCACGGCACGGCATGGCCAGGGCTAGTGCTGATACACGCCTGCATTTCAGTGTTACTTGGAGTTTCTCCCTGTGGCAGCTTAAATGTGAGGATTGAGGCAAATCTTAATGAAAGAGAGTGGTTTAGGTTTCCTGGTCTTTGGATTGTGTTTATAGCCCTGTACGTTTTCCAGGGAGTGCTTGTCGAATGCTTCTGCAATGCAAGAGCTGTAAAAGGCTGAGTTGTGCTGGCAGCCTGCTGCTGTTTGTTTTGCCTCCTCTGCCCCGTCCAGGCAGCAGTGAGGTTAGTTGGATTAGAGCTCACAGGAGCACAGGCTCTGCTAACAGGGCAGTTACTGGCCCCATTGTTGGCTTCTTGTGCTTAAACCTCCAGCTCACATCTGCTCGCAGGGTGCCGAGTGGCAGAGTTGGAGAATGAGATGGATTGAGGATAGCATGGATCTTGTACTCTAGAGTGCAGTGCATCTCTTATCACAGAAGTCCTCAGTGCTGTGAGGCTGGCAGCAGGCTGCCCTCGTGGTCTGGATGATGAGTGCTGCTGGGGTAACTCGTGTCGTGGTGCTCACAATTTCATGTGGGGATTCTCCCCTTGTGTGAACACGTACATCTCTCCCAAAAGACTAGTGCTGAAGGAAGCACAATGTGTATGTGTTTTGTGGCAGGAAGAAGAAAGCAGTTTGGACACTGTTCATATAATCTAAACTCCTGCTTCAGACTGCTTATTTCAGAATGAAGAGAGTATTGTTAGATACAGAGCGTCTTGTTTGGAAATGCTTTTGCCATAGGTGAAACTGGGATAATAGCTGCATTGGGCTCTTAAAGTCTGGGTTGAATGTGCCTGGCTCATCCTGTTCAGGTTGGAGGTGATGTGCACAGAGGGGCTCTGGTGTCTTAAATTAAAACTTGTCTCCATTATTTACCCTCATTGATTTTCAAAGAGTTTGGGAAATACTTTCATGCCACATCTTCTGAAAGCTTTGTCCTAGAAACTTCAAATTATGCTTGTATAACAAGCAAACAGCATGGCACGTGGTGTGCACCCTGTGATGTGCCTGGCTTCAGCACTTAGGCACACCAGAAGAAGACGAGACTTTCTCTAACCCATTATTAGTTCTTCACTTTACCATTCTCACCGTTCTCTGCATTTTCTAGAATGCTTTTCTGCTTTTGTTCTCTTCAGCTTCCACAACTGAAGGGGAGGATGCACAGCTTCTTCTGCAGTTAGCGCAGACAGGTGCTGGCTCCCCTCTGCCTCGGGAGGGCAGTGGTTCTGAGTACCAATGCTCTCATCTCTTCTGGCTGAGAATGGTCACACACAGCTGTGAGCCCATCACAAAGTTTCTGTCAGTTCTTTGGGAAAATACTGAGCTGGTGGGATGGACGTGCTGATCCCCAGGCTTGTGCAGGGAACTTGCTCAGGGCAGTGAAAATGTTCATTTTAATGGCTTGAGCTGTTTTAGATTGAAATATCAGCAAGTGGTTCCAACTACTCGAAGTAGGTGTCCAAAGGAAACTTCTTGGCTTGGATGGATTTTGGAATGGTAATCAAGATACTGTTGAAGTCTATTAAAAATGCATTATGAAATGTCTGGGAGTTGGCTGATAGCTTTACAATGATCTAGGGCAAATTCCTGTTGTTAGATTTATGCAAGAATTCCGCTCCTTGGCACTGTGTTGCATTTACAATGAATTGAATGTGGGGAGTTGGTACAGACAGTTCTGAGTCTGTCACTGCTGTGTTGAGCCCACAGCAACA